GAGAGAGAGAGAGAGAGAGAGAGAAGCCATGGCAGATGAAGGCTGCTTTGTAAGGACGATATCGCTAAGTGGAAATCAGTGGCCGGGTGGCGCCTCCGCCCTCTGCCCTTAAGGGCTTCTCTCGTTCACGCTCCTGGAATCGCGACGGCGACCCGCTACCGGGAACTTGCTAACTTCATTAAAATATTGCCATCAACACCGGGCCCCATTGTCTTAAAGCTTAACCGGCCGATTAACTCTAGCCGACATCCCCCCTGACGGGAACAGTAACTGCATTTTCTTTCTGCCTCGCAAAAACCGAACTTCCACACCGATGTTCCACTACTACTTCTCTAACCAATCTATATCAATATCCCGTTGTTGGATATTGATGTGTAACCTAACCTAATTCGATATTTTATGTGTTGTAGAAACGCAGAGGCTTGCGGAGTAATAAGAAAATACAACGAAATACAGGCCAACCTGTTATGTTAGGTTTCGCTTTCACACGATAAAAGGTATAATGTACTTTTGTAATACAAGCGATATTAACGCATTGTTACACATATCGAGTACTACTTTTCGCAGTTGGCCATCTATTTGTGCATATATAAAAAAATCTCAAAATCTCGTTTTGCTTTCAGCATTGAAGTCGGACTAGTTGCAGACCGCTGAGTACTCCGTGTTCAACTCAATAATTTTTTTATTCTTCAATAAGTCGGGTGTCGCGTAATAAGTATTTGAAGGATCTCGTTTAGAGGACGATTTATTTAGCAACGCAACTGTACAAATTTTATTCAAAAAATCCCATGTCACTCGGCTTACCAGACTGTTTCGTACGAGTTGGCTAGCCAATCATTTTCAAATATCACGAGATTAATTGATCTCGGACGATCGAAGGGTTTGTACTGATTTCTACTTTCACGTTTCACACAGTTTCACGCAACATCTATCTACCGTATTATCTGTATTGTACGAAATATAGCTTAGGAACGAGAAGAAAGGAGAGGAGGGGAGGACCTCCTAGGAGCAGATCGGTGCGAGGAATTCCGGACGTTTTGCACGTAGAAACAAGCCGAGTAAAACGGATGACAAAGAGGCTTTAACGATGTTCGCCGCCGATGCGCTTCGGCTGAGTGACGTAGGACACGAGCCCGGCCGCGGCTCTTCTTTTCCTCCTTGAAAGAGACGAGAAAACGAGAGCGCGCGTGTACGTCGGGCCGAACGAGCTACGAAGACGGACCACGCACGTCGTACGAAGAAGCTGCTCGTTCCCGGTGCGGTTTTTTACCACGGCTGTAATTGAGCCTGTCTCGTCGAGCTACCGTCTAAATGAATTACGAGGCGCCGTGCACGCGGCACGAGCCCTATCCCCCCCGGGCCATTCCACTTTTTTTCCGAAATTGCCGCGATTCTTCTGTGTCCGATGCTGTGGGCTTCTTTCCCTTTTTTTTTTTCCTTCTTCTCCACCGCTGCATCGTCTCGT